CCCACAACGGGAGTCTTTGGGGCGGCGGTGGGGGGCATGGTGGGGTGAGCCCAGTAGCTGCCCTGAGCTTGGAGACAGGAAGGGGTTGAGAGCAAAACAAGAAAAGGCCAAGTTCCCCTTTCCGTGGTTTCCGGGGCCTGGTACCTGCGGTGGGGGAGGAGGCAGGGTGGGGCGATGGCTTCCTGTCTCCCAGCCTCCAGTTTGGGGCTCCCCTGTTCCCAGACCCAGGCTTCCCTCCTGGACGGGTCCCCTGCCCCCAGACAGCTCCTCCTCGCACAGGTGCCTCATCCGCTTTCTGGACAGGTGGACCCACAAGCCTCCTCCAGAGTCCCAGGGTGGGTGAGGGTGGCGGGAGCCCCAAGGGAGAAGGGCTAGGCACAAGGGGGGCAGTGGAGGAGAGGCCTTGGGGCCCCCACGCCAAGCTGGCAGGTGATGCTTTGGGGCCCCAGCATGGGGCCTGGAGCCTGGGGAGCCAGAGGCAGGTCCCTTGGCTCTGCTTGCTGTCCGCCCAGTAATGGGGGAAAACCGTTCTCGCTGGACCTCTGAGAAGTGAGCACCGGCCACTCCCTTCCTGTGGATGGCTCCAGTGGGGTGGAGAAGGCGTGGGAAGGCACCTGCTTAAGTGGGGGCGAGAAGCTGAGGTGTGAGGAGGAGGAGATGCTGGGACCCGAGCCATCTGCCTGCTTCTGGTGCCCAGAGACCCGCTGGGGAAGCCCTCTGGCCATGGGGGATGTGCCTGCCAGGCAAACCCACATGCCACTTCCCTTCGTGTGTCCAGCCTGGGCCTGGAGGTGGGGAGGGCCCCTGCCTTTAGGCGGCTCCTCATGTGGGTGTGAGGGTGTGAGGTCTGGACGCTGAGGCTGAGTGCACCCTCCAAGCTGATGCCCTGAGGCCCGGAAGGGTGGCCCGTCAGAGAGGATGGGCCCTGTGTCTGTTAGCCAGTCCGCGGTCAAGTTGGCAGTAGGTGCTACCCCTCACCCCAGGCTCTGCTGTGGAGGCCAAGGGTACAGAAGCCAGGCCTGGGACGGGTTGAGACGGTGGGCCTTGCAGGTCAGCCAGGGATGAGGAGAGGTGGGTAAGGCGTGTATAAGGGTAGCTGGATGTCAGTGACAGAGGAGAGCAGCAGGGAAGTTAGCTGAGACCATGACCATCAGACTGAGGGGTGGGTGTCCTGGGAGAGATGGGGGCTACTGGAAGGTCAGGGTTGACCTGAGGGGAGAAAAGTTTTTCACCCCTCTTTCACCAGGATGAGCCGGCAGGTGGTCCGTTCCAGCAAGTTCCGCCACGTGTTTGGCCAGCCAGCCAAGGCCGACCAGTGCTATGAGGATGTGCGCGTCTCACAGAACACTTGGGATAGTGGGTTCTGTGCCGTCAACCCCAAATTCGTGGCCCTGATCTGTGAGGCCAGCGGGGGAGGGGCCTTCCTGGTGCTGCCCCTGAGCAAGGTGAGCCCCTGGAGCCCTGGGGACAGCGGTCCTCCTCCTAAGGGGGCCTCAGGTCATCTAGTGGCCCCCCCGATGAGGTGACAGTCACCCAGCCATCCCGGGCCGCAGTGTTGTCCTCTGCAAAACTGGGTTGAGCCACATGAACCTTACGCTTCCTCCAGCGCCTACATGCAGTGCTCAGATGGAGCTGAAGCTTAGGGTTGGGGGTGACACGGGAAGGGTCAAACAGCAACTCCTGCAGACCCAGGGTTTGCCGTCCCGAGTCAGCCTGGAGTTTTCTCCTGCACAGAGAGGCCTGGGATGGGGTCTGGGCGGGCCCAGCAGCGCTCTTAGGGTTTGGAGGGACTCTCTGAGCCCCTGGGAACCCAGCGAGCTCAGTGGCTCCCAGCTCACAGGCAGGGATGAGGTAAGAGACCCTCTCCCCTCCCCCAACCCTGGCCCCCCTCAAATCCTGCCCTCCCTGCTGTTTTCGGACCCCCACCCCCAGCACACTCCCGTGCTCTTGGGGGGTTGAGACAGGAAGGGGAGATGGGCCCTCAGTTGTTACCTTAAAAGGGCCGATGGAAACAGAGAGAAGAGGAAGTGGTTGTCGGAGTAAGAGCTGGGCCCGCGCTTCACACAGGAAACCCTGCTGTAGCAGCCGTCCCCGGAAGCAGCCATTTCAAACCCGTTATACAGACTTCCCCATCCTTGTCCTTTCAGGGGGACCTGTCCCCACACCCCATCATTCACACACACTTCCCTGGGAAACCCCAGCCCCAATACAACCACTCCCTCAGCCTGTCTCATGCCGGGGGCCCTGGCCTGTCATGCCATGGAAGAATTTGGGGTGGGGGTGAGGGTGGGGGTACCAGGCCACAGGACAAGGATGAGAAGCTGAGATGGAGCTGGCAGGAACTCGGCCATGGCCTGACAGAAGGGCAGGACCAACCTGCATGTCCATCCTGCGCTACTTGTGGCCAGCCCTCTCAGTTGCCCAGACAGCTCTGAGACTGGGGCAGAGCCCCAAACCCTCCCACCCTAGGCCCCTCTCCGCCTCCCAGGGACCCCACAACTTTCCCCTCTGTGACTCTCTGAAGGGGTGTGGGGAGGTGGGATTGGGTTAGGAGGGCCAGAGCACCTCCCTCAGAGGCCCCGCTGTGTCCTCCAGACTGGTCGTGTAGACAAGAATGTGCCTATGGTCTGTGGCCACACGGCCCCGGTGCTGGACATAGCCTGGTGCCCGCACAATGATAACGTCATTGCCAGTGGCTCCGAGGACTGCTCCGTCATGGTGAGTGTGGGGGGGACCCAGGGGCCAGGATGGGGCTCAGGCCCTGGAGCTGATGTTGGGCGCCTCCAAGACTCACTCGCTCGCCCCTTCTTTGCAGGTGTGGGAGATCCCTGACGGGGGCCTGATGCTGCCCCTGCGGGAGCCTGTCGTCACCCTGGAGGGCCACACCAAGCGTGTGGGCATCGTGGCCTGGCACCCCACGGCCCAGAACGTGCTGCTCAGTGCAGGTGCCGAGGGGGAGACGCGGGGAGGGCTGGTCGCCTGACAGTGATGGGGGGAGGCTCCTGGCTTCTGACACTGGGGACATCGCCCAGGTTGCGACAATGTGATCCTGGTGTGGGACGTGGGCACGGGGGCGGCCGTGCTGACGCTGGGCTCCGACGTGCACCCGGACACCATCTATAGTGTGGACTGGAGCCGAGATGGCGCCCTCATCTGTACCTCCTGCCGTGACAAGCGAGTCCGCATCATTGAGCCCCGAAAAGGCACCATAGTAGCTGTGAGTTGCCTTGACCTTTGACCCTGGGAGCTTGACCCTCCCCTACCGCCCACCCCCGATGAGGCCCCCTTAGATGCGGCCCTCTCCAGCTTCCAGCTGGGGCTTGGCCCTTAGAGGGTGTGTGCGGATGCCTGACCGGTCCCCTCCCTTTCCTTCCAGGAGAAAGACCGTCCCCATGAGGGGACCCGGCCCGTGCGTGCCGTGTTTGTATCCGATGGAAAGATCCTGACCACGGGCTTCAGCCGCATGAGTGAGCGGCAGGTGGCACTGTGGGACACGGTGAGTGCCGGGCAGGGACCAGGTTTTGTCCCCCCTGCCCCGTCGTGTGCCTGGCTGGAAGGGCAGGGCCTCAGTTTACCCACCATGCGATAGGGGTTTCTGCTGGTTGGTGTCTAAGCCCCGTCCCCACTCCTCCAGTGATGGAGGCCTGATGTGGCCCAGCTCATGGTTCTCTCCTGTCCATCTATACAGAAGCACCTGGAGGAGCCGCTGTCCCTGCAGGAGCTGGACACAAGCAGTGGTGTCCTGCTGCCCTTCTTCGACCCTGACACCAACATTGTCTACCTCTGTGGCAAGGTGGCCCCATTGGGCAGGGGGTCGGGGGAGCAAGGTGGGCAGGGGGACTTAGAAAGGACCACAGCTGGAGGCATCTGCTGGTGCTGACCCTCCCTTGCACCTACCACCTGCAGGGGGACAGCTCTATCCGGTACTTCGAGATCACCTCCGAGGCCCCGTTCCTGCACTATCTCTCCATGTTCAGTTCCAAGGAGTCCCAGCGTGGAATGGGCTACATGCCCAAACGTGGTCTGGAGGTGAACAAGTGTGAGATTGCCAGGTGACTGCCCCTGCCCCTGACCTGAGTGCGCCCCTTGGGCAGCACTGACCCCACGCTGACCTTGAGTCCCAGCCACGCTGTGGGCACTGCTCACCTTCCCGTCTCCACAGATTCTACAAGCTGCATGAGCGGAAGTGTGAACCCATTGCCATGACGGTGCCTAGAAAGGTGATGCTCCCGGGTCCCTCCTCAGGTGCTCGGAGTGGCCGGGTGGTGGTGTGGCCTGAGCTTTCTCTTAACCAGTCCTGGCCTCGCCCCACAGTCGGACCTGTTCCAGGAAGACCTATACCCACCCACCGCAGGGCCCGACGCTGCCCTCACGGCTGAGGAGTGGCTGGGGGGCCGGGATGCTGGGCCCCTCCTCATCTCCCTCAAGGACGGCTACGTGCCCCCCAAGAGCCGGGAGCTGAGGGTCAACCGGGGCCTGGACACTGCACGGAAGAGGACGGCACCTGAGGCCACTGGTGCTCCCAGCTCGGTGAGAGGCAGATGGGAGCCCGGGAACCAGGGCAGGAAGGTGGGGTAGGGCAGGAGCTGCTACTGATGTGGTCACTGACTCAGTGGAAAGAGGCTGGCGTTTGGGGGCAGGCCACACACACAATATTGGGGCTCCTTTGGGGGCTGGGAGTGGATAATCCTGTACAGGCTTAAAGGCCTGCAGTTCTCTGGATGAGAGACAGAGGGGCCCAAGCCCTGGGGGCTCATGGGAGGAGGCCTAGTGGCCTAGGAGGGCCTGGGGCTAATGCTGCCTGGGGTCCCCCAGGATGCCATATCCCGGCTGGAGGAGGAGATGAGGAAGCTCCAGGCCACGGTGCAGGAGCTGCAGAAGCGCTTGGATAGGCTGGAGGAGACAGTCCAGGCCAAGTAGAGGACCATCGGCTGGGGCCGACAGCATCGCCTCCCTCCCTTCCATTCCCACTCCTCAGGCCACAATGGCAGATAAGAAAATAATAATAAAATGGCTTTATTTTCTGGTACCTCGCAGACTCTGATGACTAGTCGAGGGGATGCTGGGTTTGCTGAACCGACCTGTCCTTGTGCTTCCCTCTCCGTAGCTGTGATGAGCCTGACCTCTGGCAGGGGCTGGACAGATGCCTCTAGATGACCCTAGACCAGTGGTCCCTGAGCTTTTTGGCACCAGGGACTGGTTTCATGGAAGACAGTTTTTCCACGCATCACGGGGGTGGGGGTGGGCTGGGGGATGGTTCAGGCATGATTCAAGTGCATTCCATTTAGTGTGCACTTTATTTCTATCAGCTCCATCCCAGATCATCAGGCATTAGATCCTGGGGCCTGGGAACCCCTACCCTCCACAGATAGGAACAGGCCTTTGTGGGGCAGGGGGGAGCCACCCTGTGCTGATATGGGTGCCCTGTTTTCCAGCTGGTAGGTCTGAGCTGCTCAGGGCTCTAGCCTGGATGGAGCCTTGGTCATTCTCATTACTCCCCAATCTGCCTTTGCTAGTCAACCACATCAGCTGTCCTGACCCTGCTGCTTGTGGGGGAAATGAAGCAACCAGCGCTTACATGACAGCTGTTAAGCTGTAGGCCCAAGGGATCAATGTTAGGGGTTCCTTGTAGGGAGGAAGCTGAGAACCAAAATAGTGGGCCCAACCTTAGTCTACAAGTGAGGAAACTGAGGGGCAAGGCAGGAGCGGCAGATCCTCAGTTATGACGCAGGCTTCCCATCCAGTTCAGAGCCTTTCCTGCACCGTGCGGCTGCCGCTTGAGCCTTGTCAGTGGCTTCTGCCTGGGCCTGGCCTCTATAAGAGGGACCTGTATTGGCAGGGAGTGGGCAGGGGGTTGGAAGTAGGTTTTGTTTTTTGGAAGTAGGTTTTTGATGGCCAACTTAGCAGGTGACCCCCTGAGCTGGGACACGGCTATTGAGGATGGGTGTCCTGGCCACAGCAGGCCTTTGTGCATCCGTGCAGGGACCAGCAAGGAGGAAATGTCCCATGTGAACCCCTGCTCCCCTTGGGCTTGCCGTACAAATGTCCCTGTCTGCCCACTTGGGCCTCAATCTCTCTGTAAGCCATGTGACCCTGGGCAAGTCCCTTCTCTCCAGGTCTCCGTTGCTCATCTATAGACAGGGAAGGGATTCTGCCACAGCTGTGAACACGGCGGGGTGGATCCAATCAGGGGTGTGGCCTAGAGAGAAGCAGACCATCTGGAGCTGAAGCCTGAGCCTAACCCCCCACCCCCACCCCACCAACACACACACACACACACAATGCGATGTTGGGCTCTCCCAGTGAAGCAGACGTGTGAGTAGTTGCTAGTTCTCCTGGCCCAGGGAAACTGAAAAAAAAAGTTCAGGAAAGGATCCCTGGAACTCAGAAAGGTTAACCTTTACTCATCATGACTCCTAGCTCCCTCTGATAGAAACAAAAGAGGGAGGTGGGGGGTGGGGGTGTGTGACAGTAATTTAGGGGCCAAGAAACTGGCCTTGAAAACAGAGGAACAGGGTGGGTGGGATGGTTGAAACCCACAATTTCTCTCCCCTAAAGAGGCCTGGCCCCAATTAGGACACTTGCTATTTCTCCTGGGTCTTGGAGACCTAGTCTGTGTAAGGCCTAGGCAACCCTGTCACCCGTGTTGACACCAGGGCATCACCTGCCCCAATTGTGTGGCTCTGGTGACCTTATTTGCCTGCTGTAACCCTACCCCTATGCCCAGCCCACGTCTCCATTCCAGAAAAACCTCACCGCGGGGGACAGCTGTGGCCACATCAAGCCCAGGACCAAAGGGTCACTGGACTTTCTCCAGGGGCCAGAAAAAAACAGCATTCCAGGTGCTGGGAAGGCCCTGCTGGGGGACCAGGCCCCTGAGGTTGTGGAGGACTTGTAGGGGGTGTGTGAAATCCTCTATTATGCTTTGACATTGGGGTGATATACTGAGAAGGAGAGGTTTGCAGTTGCTCCTGAAACCTTGAGCACTTTCTCATCTGTGCATTTTGAAAGAGGACTGAACAGAATGCCCAGAAATGGTCAAAGAATGGGGGGGTTGGGTGAGTATTGGAAGTACCCCAAGGAGTCCACCAAGGCCCACCCCGGAAGGGACTTTAAAGACAGACGATTCACTTATAAGTGGGGACACAGAGGCCTATGTGAGGAGAGGGACTTGTCCAAAGTAAAACAATGGAGAGTGGAGGGCAGGGAGAAGCCAGGCCCTAGACCCAGCCTCTGCACACTTTCCATACACAAAACACACTGACACGGAAGCTGGCCCTGATTCATAATTTAATGGGTGTGCAGGTCTGCGTCCCTTATTTCTGCTGCTCACGGGCCCACTGCTCTGGGGTCAGGGTTTTCTGCTCAAAGGCGTGAATGTGCAGGAGCTCTTCTGCTAGGCAAGTGTTCACAAGCCTGGGAGAGAGATGGGGTTAGAAATGGGCAGGCTGGGGCCTGGCTCGAAGTCCCCGAACCTAGGGTCTGCCGGGAGACTGGAGGGGTCCCCCAGGTTGTAGTCCCCAAGACCTGGAAACAAGAGAGGTAGAGGGCTTAAGTCTGAATATTTGATGCTGGGGCCACGAAGGCGGGACCCCTGGGGTGGTGGTCTGTGGTGGGGGCCGCATGGATGGGAGTGAGAGTTAAGGTTTCGGGAGGCGGCCCGGGATGTGGTCCCAGAGCTGCGGCCGCGCTGAAGAAGGTGTTCCCGGAATCTCACCGGTGTCTCTGAAGCAGCGGTTTCCCTTCGAACTTGGCCGACACCACAAGGACTCGGAAGCTGGACGCGCAACGGTTGGGAGTCGTGTCCTCCACTTCCTATGAGGCAGAATGGTGTGGATGGTGCAAGTCCGCCCCCGGAAGCCCTGTTCCCTTCGTTGGGCGAGCCCAGGCCGCTCAACTCACCACGTGCTCCGCTTCCAGGTCCCGCTGCAGCTTCTCCCGGAGGTACTCGGCACTGAGTTCCATTGTGGCAGCCCAGCGAGGGCGGCAGCCCAGCGGGGATGGAACCCCACCACTGACCCCAGCCACACTGCTTCCGCCCTTACTGGCGCCACTTCCGCTGAGGCAGCTACTTCCGCCCTTACTGAGACGTCCGTAAACTCAGCATTTCCGCCCTGTCCCAAGCCCAGTTTTCCAACTGCCTTCGGTTTCCGTCTGTCAGAGTCTGCATGAGGCTCCAGCGGACTCTAATCGGTACCCGCTGCTTGTACAGCAACCCGGGTTCTGTGCGCCGGTTTGGACACCCGAGCTCCAAATAGGAGAGGGCGCACGAGTTTGCATTGCTGTGACTTCTAGGGTACCTCGGGATCGTTCCCAAGCGCTTTTTCTGAGACAAGTATCTTGCGGCCCTGGTAGCCCAGCCCTCCCCGGGTCACAGGCCACAATAATCAACCCCCAAATTGGCGATGGGCCCCGCAGGGGGCGCGGCGAGGTCCGGACGCTTCTTTGGCGTCTACCTGCTTTACTGTCTGAACCCTCGGCACCGGGGCCGCGTCTACGTGGGGTTCACCGTCAATCCTGCTCGTCGGGTGCAGCAGCACAACGGGGGCCGCAAAAAAGGCGGGGCCTGGCGGACCAGTGGGCGCGGACCGTGGTAAGAGAAGGCGGGTCACGGTCAGGAGGAGGAGGGCTTCCAGGAGAAGGCGGGGCCGGCGAGGGAGAGGCCGGCTGAGAGGGGCGGAGCCAGGCCTGTGGCAGTGGGCGGGGCCCGCGAGGGGGCAGGGCCGGGGGCGGGAGTAACGGGGGTGGGCCTATCGCCGCGGAGGAGGAGCCCTGTGTGGGCCTGGGTCTCAGAGGACGGGGTTGGGTGGGAAGGGGACTGATCTAGGTTTGGTCAGTGACAGGGAGTTTGGTGAACAAGACTGGGTTGGAATAGAGAAAGCTTGGAAGGGAGAGGAACTGAGGAAGGCTGTTAAGCGCCTGTGACTACAGGCGGGGCCTGCGGTTAGCAGGTGCGAGGGGCTGGCTTATACCTCCACGAAGGGAGCAGGGCCTCGTGGGCTAGGCGTGAAGCCGATGTGATCCCACTCTCCGGTAGGCCAGGGGATTCTGTTTGACATGGGGTGGGGCGGGGGGCTCACGGGTCGCGCGCCCTCCTTCTCTTTCCTAGGGAGATGGTGCTCATCGTACACGGCTTCCCCTCTGCAGTGGCTGCTCTTAGGGTAAAAAGGAGTTAGGGGCAGCGGGAGGACCAGGGCTAGGGCTAGGGCTCGGGGCCCTCCCCGAGCAGCCCCCTTCCCCGGGGCTCCCCCTTCCTCCCGCGGACCCCTTCCCCGGCTGCTCCTGAAGCCCTGTACCCCCTCGCCTGCAGTTCGAATGGGCCTGGCAGCACCCACAGGCCTCGCGCCGCTTGACGCACGTGGGTCGGCGCCTGCGCGGAGAGGCCACCTTCGCTTTCCACCTGCGCGTCCTGGCTCACATGCTGCGCGCGCCGCCCTGGGCGCGCCTCCCGCTCACCCTGCGCTGGCTGCGCGCTGACTTCCGCCAGGACCTCTGCCTACCGCCGCCACCTCACATGCCACTGGCCTTCGGGCCTCCACCGCCCCGGGCCCCAGCCCCGAGGAGCCAGGCAGGTCCTTCCGACGACACGGGATGCGAGCTGGAGGGAGAAGTCGACGCCCGCTGCACCCTCTGCGCACGCGCGCTCCAGGTAAGCCGGGTCAGGGCAGTCTAGGTAGGGTTCAGAGGACTTAGGATCAAGGGTCTGGGCCGTCCACTGACACCCTTTGGCCACTCTACCCCCATCTCTACCCATTTATTATCTTTTTTTTTTTTTTTTTTCGCTTTTGTCTGCTCTCGGTCTTCTTTTCTGTCCATGGGCTTTCTCTAGTTGCTCAGAGCAGGGGCTACTCTCTACTTGCCGCCCGGGCTTCTCATTGCCATGGCTTCTCTTGTGGAGCATAAACTTGAGCTCCCCAGGCGTGTGGGATTTTCCAGATGAGGGATCGAACCTGTGTCCCCCGCACTGGCAGGCGAGTTCTTAACTACTGGACCACCAGGGAAGTCCTGCTCTCGTCTCTGCAGTGGGAATAGTGCTTGTGGCTATTCCTCAACGCCAGGGCCTCCTCCAGGCCTTTGCCCTTCCCCTTGGACTGAAAAATTCTTCCCTAGACCCTCTATCTTAAGAAAATGCCTCCTCTCCTCTGGTCAGCTCTTCCTTGGCTCTCCATCTAAAATTGCCTCTCTCTCTTGTACATCCCCCTGGCTTCCTTTAACGCCTGTTATTGTCTGACATATTGTATATTTTATTTACCTTATTATCAGTCTTTCCCACCCTCACCCCCATATTAAACTCTGCAGGGGCATTTAGTTCCTTTTCACTACGGTAGAACAGGGTCTGGTGCAGAGCAAGTGGCCAATAAATATTTAATAAATTAACTGAGATGATGTGTCTGCCTTCTACTGAGCTCTCAGTAAGTGTAAGTTGAGTTCTTGCCATTCAGGGATTAAGTGACCTGTCTGAAATCTCTCAACCTGTAAGGAACTCTAGGTCTGGCTGCCCTAGCCATACTGTTAGATAATCACTGCTCCCACTCAGAGAAAACTGGCCAGCTTAGTCCCTGTGGACCAGTATTTTAGCCTCTCGGTGCCTCAGTTTCCTTATCTATGTGCTGTGTTTAGTCGCTCAGCATGTCAGACGCTTTGCAACCCTATGGACTGTAGCGCGCCAGGCTCCTCCATCCATGGGGATTCTCCAGGCAAGAATACTGGAGTGGGCTGCCATGTCCTCCTCCAGGGGATCTTCCCAACCCAAGGATCAAACCCAGGTCTCCCGCATTGCAGGTGGATTCTTTACCGTAAATGCAAATAATAGTAGCACATGCCTCATAAAGTTGTTTATGTAAAGCCCTTGGAACAGTGTGTGGTCCATAGAAGCTCTTCACCGTTGTTAGCTACATGATTACTCCCCGTTTTCTCTCTTACCTGCCTGCCACCTCCGACAGGATGAAGAGAGCCCCCTGTGTTGCCCGCACCCTGGCTGCTCCCTAAGGGCCCATGTGATCTGCCTGGCAGAGGAGTTCCTGCAGGAGGAACCAGGGCAGCTTCTGCCTCTAGAGGGCGCATGCCCTGGGTAAGTCCCACATCCCTGCTCCAGCCTGGTTTAACTCCAGGAAGGCTGGAAGGGGGTGCCCAGTTGTCCAAGTCCAGGCCTGGGGTAGCCAAGCCCTTCTCTTGGCACCCAGGTCCTGGCCTGGAGGATGCTTGTGATCCTGACTCTGTTTCCTATCAACCATACCCCCTGGTAGCTGTAAGAACTCACTGCTGTGGGGAGACCTGATCTGGCTCTGCCGGATGGGCACCGAGGAGGAGGAGGAGGACTCGGAATTAGAAGAGGTGAGAGGTGCTTGGGCCCCAGCCTCTCTGCCCCACCCTGTCTCCTGGGCTGCCTTTCACCAACTCTCTTGTCTCCACAGGAGCACTGGACCGACATGCTTGAGACCTGATTCTCAGCATCCTCAGCCTCCACCCACTCCTTTTCTTTGCCACCCTCTGTGGCTCTGGCCAGTTTTTACTTGAAGACAATAAAAAGTCTGAGTTCAGGGTACCTGCTGGTGTTTGCCGGGGGTGGGGAGCATGGGTAGGAGGCAGAGACCCTGCTGGTAACTGGGGCCTGAAGAGGACAGGGGAGTGGGGAGGGGCTGCTGGCCACAGCATGGACCAGCCTCTGAAGTCACACTGTCCTCTGAGGGTTTAGGAGACTCACACCCTGAACGCAGAGCCCACTCAGCTCCAGTGCCCAGCTTGACTCTGGTGCTGCTGGTGGTCTAGTGACTAAGTCGTGTCTGACTCTTGCAACCCCATGGACTGTAGACTACCAGGCTCCTCTGATCATCACTTTTCCCAGGCAAGAATACTGGAGTGGGTTGCCATTTCCTTCTCCAGGGGATCTTCCCGACCCAGGGATTGAACCTGGTTCTCCTGCATTGCAGGTGGGTTCTTTACTGTCTGAGCCAGCAGAGAAGACTCTGTACTTTAATCCAAATAGTAAGAACAAAGGCCAAGGAGGAGAGGAGGGTGCTCTCCCCCAACGGGGTCCTGTGACTCTCGAAACCCCAACTCCTTGTCTCTGTCTGTGGAACCTCATTCAAACCCAGAGAAAGAAAAGCACCTTCTGGGGGCTGTTGTTTTACCAACCATAAATGAGGCTCCATGCTGTCCCCGGAGCTCCCTCCATGGGAGTCGTGGAGCAGGGGCACACTCCGGGGTTATTTGACACAAGCATTCTGGCTCTTTCCTATCCTATGCTGCCTCAAAAAGAGCCTGCCTTGCCCGGCTCCACCCCAAACCCCATCACCCTGCCCACGTACATCCCTCTGGACTCGCCCTGTGGTCAGAGCCAGAAGTTCCCGGAATGTTCAGGCTGCTGGGGGCCTGCGGGCTGCCTTCCACCTGAACCCTTGGCATTTTCAAACCTGGCCTGGAGCCGGCAGAACGGTGAGTGTCCCCACATTTCCCCTCTTCTCCCCTGCGCTTTCTAGACCAGGCACGTTAGAAAAAGCTGTCTCTTGGCCCTCTCGACAGAGGTGGAATCTAGAGGGCAGGTCAGGAGCCAGGATTCCAGCTCAAAACACCAAAAAAATCCCCAAAACTATTGCACCCTTGTGTCTAGTTTCAGCCTTCTGTTTTCTACATACTAAACCCACATCTGGAGTTTTCAGGCCAGGCTAAGCTGGGTTCCAGCTGAGGAGGATAGCACAGAGGGTACTCCCACGCCAAACTTCACCCTTTCCTTCCTGGAGGACAGCCAAGTCCCAGTGCTGGCGCCAGGCCCCTCCCACTTGAGAATTACAAAGCTCGCAGCTCAGAGAGTGATCCTGCACTCACCACACTGTGCTCATTCTCAGCCCCACGCAGACACAGACAGGGTCACAAGGCCAAGATCCAGAGAGATCAGGTGAGAGCGAGGTTGGGGGGTGACAGGGCTGGATCCCACTCACCTCTCGCTGCTGCTGGCTTTGACTCTGATCCTATCACTTAATCTCTCTGCTCCCACTTCTCATGTCCAGCCCTTTCCCAAAGGAGTGCTCATCTCGGTCTCCAGCCTGGCTTGAATCCCCCTCCTCCTCTTCCTCCTTCGCCCTTCCTCTTCTCCACTGAGTCATCAGTTCTCATTCACCTGCAAGACTCTGACCCCCTAAACAGTTGCTCAATCGGCTGTGTTTTTCTCCAAGTGGGGGAGGCAAATGGGGGAGGCTGGTTAGGCAAGCTGGATCTCAGGCCCAATTTGGAGAGGCTGGTTGGACAAGCTGGATCTCAGGCTTAACTGGCCTTTGGGAGTTTTCCATATGTGAGGGCCCAGGGGAGCTCAAGGGGGAAACTCAAGCTCAAGAGGAGCCCACCAGGATTAGACCTATAGCAGAAGGGAGAAGACAAAGCAAGCTGGGGGCTGGCCAGAAGTTCAGACAGGAAGGCCCTAGAGGTTTTCTCAAGTGCACATTGAAATCCCCTGGAGAGCTTCCAAAAAACTGCTATCAGGGTCCCATCCCCAGAGAGTGATTTAATTGATTTAAAAGCTCTGCAGGCAAATGAAAATGCAGCCTGAGTTGTGACCCACTGCAGGAACACAAGATCTAGCTTTGAATCCCAGCCCCACCACTCTTGTGAGCTAGCTCTGTGAGCACGGCCAAGTGGCTCAGGCTCCCTCAGCCTTGGGTTCTTTACTTCAAAGCAAGAATTCAACAGCTGGCACCACTGACATATTGTTCAAGGAACGAGGCCGCACCCCGGCGCCCCTGAGGAGACAGCATGGAACTGATCCAGGACACCTCCCGCCCACCAGCAAAGTATGTGAAGGGCATCCCTCTCATCAAGTATTTTGCAGAGGCACTGGGGCCACTGCAGAGCTTCACAGCCTGGCCTGATGACTTGCTCATCAGCACCTATCCCAAGTCGGGTAAGTGATGGGGATACCCAGGCCTCCTTTGGGCTGCAGTCCCCACCTTGGGCCGGGAGGGGCGTGGCCTCAGCCCTGCTCATCCCCCATCTATTCCCACCTGCCAGGCACCACCTGGGTGAGCGAGATCCTGGACCTGATCTACCAGGATGGCGACCTGGAGAAGTGTCAGAGAGCCCCCATCTTCATGCGGGTGCCCTTCCTTGAGTTCAAGGTCCCTGGGATTCCCACAGGTGTGTGGTGGGGTGTTGGCGGCAAGTAGAGTGGAGGGAGGTTTGACTGGGGCTCCAGCTCACGGATCTTGCCCTACCTACGGCTTAGGTGTTGAGCTTCTGGAAGATACACCAGCCCCACGGCTGCTCAAGACACACTTGCCCCTGGCTCTGCTTCCGAAGACCCTGCTGGATCAGAAAGTCAAGGTGAATGGCAGAGAGAGCCAGAGAAGGAGGCTGCTAGGGCCATCCCAGCTTTGGCCCTGCCTTCTGGGAAGGTCTCACTTCCCACAGCCTGGTCTCATCTTAAGAAGGACGGGGTGAGGGGCATCTGCCTGATGCTCTAGTGGGGTCAGGTATCTGGTGAAAATGAGACTCCTCTGTGCAGTCTGGGTGTTCACAGGCCTGTGGAGGGGCTGGTGGGAACCCAGCATGCCTTGTTCCAAATCCAGACAGAGTGGTGTTGAGGGGATTGGATTAGTATAAATTAACAGTTTCAGGAGCTAGCCCAGAGTTCAGCATCAGAGCAGGGTTCAGGTCCCAGCTGGATCTTGCCTGCACCCCAGGACTGCAGGCGAGTCAGCCTTTAGACCTGTTTCTCCTTTGGCCAAACTGAGAGAGCTTCCCTGGCAAGGAGGCCATAGAGGGCGGGATGCCTGGTACCTGGCGTGCCATGTGGTGACGGCGCTGGGCTTGGGGGTCACCTGCCCCTCCAGGTGATCTACATCGCCCGCAATGCCAAGGATGTGGCCGTCTCCTATTACCACTTCTACCGCATGGCCAAGGTGCACCCTGACCCTGGCACCTGGGACAGCTTCCTGGAGAAGTTCATGGCCGGGGAAGGTGAGGCTGACACTGGAGGAGGGAGAGGGTGGGGTGGAGCCAAGGGGCACCAGCTAACGTTTATGCCAACCTCTGTGTCCCGACCACCTGCCCTCTTCCCCAGTGTGCTATGGGTCCTGGTACCAGCATGTGCGGGAGTGGTGGGAGCTGAGTCACACCCACCCTGTTCTCTACCTCTTCTACGAGGACATAAAGGAGGTGAGACCACGGCTTCCAGTTCCCTCCACGTCACTTAGCAAGGCAGGAACCTCACACGGCCCTGCTGGGGCCCACTCAGCACTGTCCCCTATGGCAGCCCTCAGGCCAGCCCTCCCGGATCCCCTGCCCAGGACTGGAGTAGGAGCGTGCCCTCCACGGCAGCGCCCTGTTCAGCCCTTTACCTCCTAACGCCCGAGTCAGCAACACGTGCAGACATTCGTCTGCTCTGTACTGCCAGTGCTTCTCCTGGGACCACCATTACGAAAGGGGACTGTCCCTCCTCTCAGCCAAGAGGAACCAGACCTCTGTCATAAAGGATCCCAGGGTAGAAGGCAGTCACACCTGCCCCTGGGAAAGAGGGCCAGAGTCAAGGAACAGGGCCTGAGGTCTCTAGGCAGAAGTGGCCAGATCCGCCCCCAGGGTTAGAAAGGCGCCTCCCTTTTCTGCTCAGCAAGTAATCCAAACCTCCACTGAAGAGCCTCTCCACTGCTCCAGGACCCCAAAAGGGAGATCCAGAAGATCCTGGAGTTTGTGGGGCGCTCCCTGCCGGAGGAGACTGTGGATCATATCGTCCAGCACACATCTTTCAAAGAGATGAAGAAGAACCCCATGACCAACTACAGCACCATACCCACTGAAATCATGGACCACAACATCTCTGCCTTCCTGAGGAAAGGTGAGAGCCACCCCAGGGGGTGGGCATGGGCATTTGGGGAGAGGGGGAGCCGCAAATGGGACTGCCCTTTGGCCATTCGGGGCCACCTCTGCGGCCGGGACCTCCTTCCTGCCATCTCTCCCCAGGCATCACTGGCGATTGGAAATCCACCTTCACTGTGGCCCAGAATGAGCGCTTTGAAGCCCATTATGCTGAGAAGATGGCGGGCTGCAAGCTCCGCTTCCGCTGGGAGCTGTGAGTGGTCCTCTGGAGGGGTGTGAAACAAGCCCAGTCATGGCTTCAGAAATAAAATCTGATGTGTGTTAAACAAAGAGCCTCTGTTGGAAGCAAAGAACCAACCTGAGCTAGAAGGGTAGATGCCCACTGGGAACCAATGAGGCCATCTCCCCCGGTGGCCTCCAGCTCGCCCTAGTGGGGAGTGAGACAAGGGTCTGGAAAAGCAAAACCTAGGAGACATGGACAAGGAGGAAGAATATTTATTTGATCACAAAATCTTGTGCGTTCCCCTGTAGAGGGTGTCAGCTGATTGCGAGTCTGCTAGGCCACTTCACTTTTTCTTGGGCTCCTTACAAGCCACCACGTACCGCTGGGCTACATTGAGGGGAGGGGAGTAACCGTCTGCATAGGAGGTGTCTTCAAACAGGACAGAATAGTCATCCTGGGGCTGCAGCAGAGGCAGACAGGAGGGACTGGTCAGAGGGCTCCAGGTGAAACCCCCGCCCCACACCACTAAGCTTTGAGTGACAGGAACCTCTGGCTCGTGGCCCCCAGAAGCTCCTGTCCTTGTATTCACTCAAGAAGTGGAGATGTGTGAGCGCAGTCCCTGTTACTACAGAACTCCTTCCTCAGCAACAAAGGGCCAAGGGTAAGGGATGAAGATCAAGGAGACCACCACCTACATAAGTGGGCCGTAACTGGAGGGTGTGGTACCAGGGAGCCTGGGTAAAAGGGATCAAGGACAACCTAGAGGGCAACAGCAAGGATCCTGGAGGAAGAAGCAAGAATAGCCTTTGAACTGGCATCAGGTGACCAGGGCATCAGCAATGTGGTCAAGAGCACGAGGGAAAGCAGTTCAGCTGAGGAAAAGGCAGTGGGGCTAGAGTTAAGGGCTCCAAGACAGGCCCTGGGCATGGAGCTTCCCAACTCAATGCAAAGGTGAGGTTAGACTAGTGTATGCATCACATCCATTCGGCTCCGGGCTTGCTAAGGCTCTGAAGCTTGGGAAGAGGAGGGTGGGCCGGCGCTGCCCCAGAGGGCAGGGCTGGAGGGCAGACTAAGCAGAAGACAGAGGGCAACTTGCAGGGCCCTCTGAGCTCAGAGAGGCTGTGAGATGAGGACAAGAGGGGAAGGAGGTGGGAAGGTGACGCCAGGAGCCATCTGGCCACCTGGCCCTGACGTTAGGGACGGCCTCTCCTGTGGGGGCTGCCTTACCCGCTGTGGGGGCGTGTGGATCAGGGCACGGTAGAAGCAGGTGGTCTGGGGATACAGGGCCAGCACAAGCTGCTCCTTCTGGAATAAAGCTTCGGGGTCCGTCTCCGGGTTGGCCTTCCACTGGGGCAGTGGGATGATCCGCCGGCGGCTCAGGGTGTGTCTCCTGGGGGTGGGGCTGAGGTAAGGTGGGGGCCCCATCCCCGCAGCTTGGCCGCCCCCAGGCTTCCACAGCCCTCCTCCCCACCAGCACACTCACTCTTTGCCTTCTTCGTCAATGTCGTCTACCTCGTACCTGCGGGCGGACAAAAGGAAAGGGCTGGATGCAGAAAGGGTCAGGATCACAGTCCAAGTCGGGGAGTCGTGAGGAAGGGGGAGGAGGGCAGGGAGGGGAAGCAGCCCCCGGGTCCCCACAGATACCCAGGGGTGTAGCTGTCCTCCCAGCCTGCAGATGCGTGACAGTGTAGCCCACACGGCTGTGGTGACGGGAGAGCAGCCCATAGGGCCGGGGGACCGCTCACTTGTTGGTGGCGTGGCTGTAACTGACCACCTCGGCCAGGATCCACTGCTCATCCCCGTCCACAGCCTTCACCCGGGCGGCCACCTTGTCTCCAGGTTTGGCCACGTAGTCCCCAGAAGCTGGAATGGCCCCGCAGAGGGGCGGGGGTCTGAGGACGGAATTAAAATGTTCAGTCCCAGCCCCCACCTTGCCAGCCCCTACCCTACCCGGGGCCCGCCCTCACTTGTCACCAGGCTTCCCGATCCACAGGGGCAGGGTCATGGCTGACTGCTGCAGCAGGGTCATGAGCACCCCCCTGCGCATGGTCTTCCGAGGCGGCTCCGAGTCATTGTACAGGCCTGCGATCTTGGCCGCTGTGGGAGAGAGAGAAGTGAGCCCTCAAGACATCAGAGATAGGGCGCCCACCCCAGCCCGCCCACATTGGGCCATCAGAGCTCAGCCTGCAGCACCCTGGCCTGAGTACCAACGGGCTGCGTGCCATCCTGTCCCTTCCTCAAGATGCCTGCAGTGAGACCACCCAGACTGACAGATGAAGAGCTGCCGGGAGGGCAGATACCCTAAGGGGAAGCAGCAGGAAAGGGCAGAAGCAGGGCTGTGGGCCAGTGGTCATGTTCTAGTTACTGATCTGGGTGCTAGGAACATTTTGTTCAGTTAGTGAAAAGTTTCAGCTAGCTGTATGTTCACATCTGTGTTCCTTCCTATTAACATATGTTGTAGTTCAACAACAAATTTTTAAAGACAAATGTGGACAGACCCCTGATCTCCTCGGGCATGGTTCAACACACCCAGCCACCTCATACAAACCCAGCTGGCAGTGTGACAGTTTTTGATGGGTGAGGAGGTGTGGACTGTGGGTTCACTGGGGCAAGAGAGTTGGGAAGGCCCTGGCAGCTTGAGGGATCTGGAAGCCAGCGCCTCGTGTCAGTAAACTCCATGTGGAAGGCTGGTTTCAAGACACCCAGGGTGCAGCTCTCAAAACACAGCCAGGTTCTCCTCGGAGCAAGAAATGGGAGAGGGGAGAACTCCCTGGCAGTCCAGTGGTTAGAACTCTGCGCTTTCATGGCTGAGAGTGTGGGTTAAAAAAAGAAGAAACAGGAGGTGGCAGTAGGAAAGGGAGGGGGTAAGTGCCCCAGACAGTAGGCAGAGCAGGGGAATCAGCGTGGTCCGCAGGGAGCACGGGGGACCATCCCCATTGCCTTCCCAGCCCCGGACGATCCCACTGGACTGAAGTCACAGGCGCCCCCACAGGGAGACTGACTGTCGCTCTCAGGAACCATCATTCCACCGGTGGTCTCTAACTCACCAATCCGCCTCTCTTCCAATAGAGACTTGATTTCTGCAATCTTATCTAGGGCTTTCCGAAGGATGCTGAGGGTGGGGAGAAGGGAGAGAAGAGGTCTGCGTGAAGCATAAAGCACGGACTTCCTTTTCTCCTTTTCTTTTATTCTTAAAAGCACAAAAGAACAGATGAGACAGGAGGAAGTAGTGGGACAAACTACCTAACAGGGTTGGTAAGTGGAGGGCTCCCTTTGCCTGAGGGCATTGGGCAAATGCTGCCAAAGGGCTGTGGGGTGCTGGCAGCCTCTAACAATTGAGATTTCGGGGAACAGAAGTTAGAATCCGGGGTCTGCCCTAGTTGCACATGGGAGAGGAGACACTCTGGAGCACTGTGCGGAGTTGTCTCGGCACACAGCAGGGCTGCGGGTGGCACGAACTTGTCCCCAGCCCCTGGAAACCCCTGGAGTTCAATTACGGGGGCTCCAGAGTGGCCGGGACCCAAGAACCTAGCAGAAGTGCACACAAATCCTTGCTGGAAAAAGGCTTCTTCATCCCAGAGTTTGGAGAACCTCCCCCAGAGAATAGTTCAACAGCAATGAGCAGCACTGAATCCACTTCAGGACATTTATTCTCTAGCCCACTCCTCTAGCAAACCTTTAGTAAAAACCCATGTGTTAAGGAAGGCCTTGGTTCAGCATGAGACCCATGAGAACACAGCATAGTAGGGTCACGGAAGGTGTCCCAGAGGGTGTGACTCTTGTGGACTTGTCAGGCAAAGGCCAGAAGACTGGGCAAGGGGCAGCCTTGGCAGAGGGAACTGGGCAAACGGAAGTAGCGAGGGATGAGTATCTTGCCACAGGCTCAGAGCATCGGAAGCTCGGCATGGCTGGCATCAGACATGTGGACCACTCAGCCAGAGCCACCATGGGCTTGTGAGCGAGCACTGGGACATAGGGCAACAAGGCAGAGGAGGAAAAGCCAGGAGGCCAAAGGGAACTTTGAAAGTCTGATCACTGCTTTTGGGCCTGTTGGGCCTTTTATGTAGTTATGTCCTAAGTTACATTCTGGGAGGTACTGATGGCGTGGTTCTCAGCCTTAGCTGGAAAGCAGAATGCTCTAGGGAGCTTTTTAAAAAGAATCCTAATTGTCTTAAGGATTCTCAGCAGATGCCAAAACTAGTGGGGGGGGGGGGGTCTGATGTGAAATGGGCTATGTACATAGTCTCCAAGTATCTAAGATACCTATCAATTACACAATGGAAAATAGCCCTAACTTGAGGACAAACCTGGAAGAGCCCACCTTTACCAGTGAGAGTTCTACCTTCTAAAATGAAGACGGAGGACATCACTTCCAGAAGCGTAAAACCTGAATCTAATTGTGAGGAAACAGCAGACAAACCCAACTGAGGGAGATTCTACCCTGGCTTATCATTTTCAGAATGTCAAAGTCACGAAAAGCAGAGACAGCCTGGGAACCGTTCCACATTGAGAGAGACTAAAGAGACAGGAAAACTAATCCGCACTAGGAAAATATTCTGTTCTTTTGCTATCAAGGTCATCTGAATAAGATCTGTAGCTCAGTGAATAGTTTTATATCAGCATAATATCATAATTTTGAGAAACGTGCCATGGTTGTTTAAGAATGTCCTTTTGTAAAGCACATGCTGACTGATGTGTTTAGAGGTCCAGAGGCATCAGGCATCATGTCTGCAACATAAAAGGTTCAGAAAAAATTTTTTGACTATACAGAGAACAATAAAAGCAAATGTGGTAAAAATATATTTACGTAAGTCTGAGCATATAAAAAGTTAATACTAATGCATGAATTCCACCCTAGTTAAATCAGAACCCCTGGGTGCAGCCAGACTTGAGAACCAGTGTGTAAATGTACTCCACTGGCAGGAAAGTTTGTGAAATACTGAGTTAAAGAAACTGTTGCATAACTTGGCATAGCCTTTACCACTTTAATTTGCATTGTGAATTTCCAAGGAAAGGAATGTAACATTGCTGCAGTCCAGGCCTGCAAAGAGTCTGACACAACTTAGCTACTGAACCACAACAAAGTTACTGAAGATCCACTGGAGAGGTCTAAGGAAACGATGTTTTAAGATCATTTACTATTTCAAGAGCAGTTTTCTGGAACTGGAATTTCTGCCCCTCCGAACCAGAAAGCTCAATCAGGATGACCACCCAGCAAAGCATGGGTGTCTACCTTCTAGCAGGCAGCCTGCCAGCCCGCCAGCACCCCTCAGGGAAGGGCCACCCCAAGAGGCTTGCTTCCCCTGGGATAGTGGAGGAAAGGCCTCTTGCTGGCTGATCCTTTGAAGGGTCCTCAGCCAAGAACCCTGAGCCCTAACTTTCCTCCCCAACCATTAGTAAGGGCCTAACCAGTGTGAGCTCTTTAAAGCAATCCAGTACTGCTGCATACCAGTTCACAGTAATTATCTGATTAGAGTGAACTTTTAAAAAGAAAAGGAGTCAAAAAATTCCTTGTGGGCTTTCTTCTGTCTTGCTGAGATAGGTGGAATTGTGCTTGCAGAGGCAGACAGCAGCTAATAAGCCAGGGGGTGTTGCACAGATGAACTGCCCGGGAGCTGCCCACCCTCTGGCCATCTACAGAAGGAGCCTAGCAGCAGGCTGGCTGCATGGCCTCCCTCAGCCCCAGGCCCAGCGGGAGGGTAAACACAATAGACCCTAGACTCTCAGGCACATGGCTTCTCTGCTCCCAGGAACTGGTCTGTCTGTGTGACCCTGTCAGGCCTGAGGAGGGACAATACCTTCCCTCCAACTTCCCGGCGGACACATCCTGTGATGGATCAAGACGAGAGCCCTCCCCCCAGTCAGCACAGGACGGTGTCCACGCCGCAGGTGCCCACACGCAAGCGGCCAGCTGACCAGACCTCGGCGCCTGGCTCAGACAGACAGTCCAGGTGCTAAGGCGTTCATTCTCTGCTCCAGGCACTTAACGTTTGAGGCTGTGACCACCCAGGTCCTCACAAAGTTAAATTGGAGCTCTGTGTGCACTGGCTTAACTACTCATCAAACTACCTTCCTTCGATGGAACTCTGAGCCAGGCTGTTAGTGTCTGTGGCCAAAGAGTCACGGAGGACACCATCCCTGACGCTCTGCCCTCCTGGGGCTACATCCGGAAAAATGCCTTCTGAATCACTGTCAAAAATTTCTTGTTCCCAGCAGTCTGGGTGGTAGGGGGAGAATGGATACATGTATATGTATGGTTGAGTCATCCTGCTATGCACTTGAAAGAATCTCAACATCGTCAATTGGCTACACTCCAATACAAAATAAAGTTTTAAAAAATAAATTTCGAAAAAAGAAAATATCTTGTTCCCCCCGGAAAGGCTACCAGCCTCCACTGGCACATGGGAAGTGACATCTTTGATCTGTCTCCTTTGACTCCTGCCAAAAGAGACGACTATTAAATGAAGACAGACTGGGTCCTTTGCGTTTTCTGCAAAAGCGGGGGGAAAGGCTGGGAAGAGCTGTGGGCTCAGATGAAGGGAGAGCAGAGTAGGTGACGGAGTGGCGCGGGCTCCTGGGGCCTCTGCAGTTTCACGAGAGGTTGACCACAAATATTAGGAAGAGCTGACAGGTACCACAGCAGCCGGCTCAGTGCCACGTGGGCACAAATACCACCACGTTTTCCCCACCCGGACACAAAGCTCCCTGTGGGCAGGACTGGCGTCTTATCTGCCTCACTCGCTCTTCTGTTCCCAGCATGGTATCTGGAGGGGAGGACTCCTTACTTAATATTTAGTGATTGAACCTAAGAAGGTCTGAGAGTCTGAAAAAGTCAAATGGCAGCACAACTGCCAGGGACCTGCACTTCTGAAACAAGCTTTAAGTGTTAAACTCTGGAAAGTTGAGGCCAGAGAAGAGCCCACACCATCTGGCTACAGAAGCTGTCGCCTCACTCTGCCGGCTGTTAATCTGAGAAGGGTATGTCTGTCTTTTACTTTTAAATGAGTGTGAGTCACTCTGACTCATACAAGCCAAACTCCAGGCCCTCTAGTGGAAAAGGGCCCCACAAATGAACCTTCCAATCCTTCCGATTGGGAGAAGATGGGGATGGGCAAGGGCAGGCGGGAAGGCCAAGAAAGCAACACCTCCGACAAGAATCCACTGTGTCCCCTCCCTGCCAGTCAGCTCCACCCTTTTGTCTCTACTCCCCATCCTGACACAGGGGGCCCCAGCAGACCCCTTTGTCTAAGCTAAAACCTTGGAAAGCTTCTCGTCTCCCAATTGGTCCCCAGTTTGATCTCAGAACCTGCCCCGTGTTTCTCCGGCCCCAATGAGAAGCCTCAGCTCAACTCCATCCTATCTTATGCCTGGTCTCCAAGCTAGACTTGAATCTCACCCAGTCTGTTCTCTGTGTGGCAGCCAGACATTTCTCTCCTGCTCTTATACCATCTTTGGCTCCCTACTGCCTCCAAGATAAAGTCTGGGTACTGGAGTCCCTCCCCTCCCCCAGCCACACAGGGCTAGTTCTCACTCCTCAAACGCTCCCACCCTACAGGAGCTCCTCACGGCCCTGGCACACTCCGTCTTGTCTGCCTACCCATCCCCAGCTCAAGTTGCTCCTCCTCCCTGAGAGGGTCCCAGATTCCAAGGCCCAGTGAGCACCTCTCTGCCAGCCCACCAACTACACTGTCCTGTAACTTTTTTGGGGCATCTCTCCTTTCTGGATGGCTTGCCCCTGAAGGCAGGCCCCTCACTAACCTTGTGTGTCTCTGTGGAGACTGCCTAGCACCAGGCATCACCATGGGTTATGGTCAAAACAGTTTGAAAAATACAGATATTAGTGACTTTATATGCATCACCACATATTATGTTGACAATTCTATAAGCAGTTATTATCCCTACTTTAATGAGGGAATAACTGAGTCTCAGCTCAAGAGACCAGCCAAGGTCAAGCGGTAGGGAAAAGGCAGTGCTGGGATTTCATCTACGCCCTTCTGCCATTTATACAACAGTGGGGCCGGGGAAGAGGGACGAGAGTGGGCTCTAGAGAAGCTGGGCCCTATAGGAGAGGCTGGGAGTCAGGATCTGCTTAGCCCTGGGAGGGGGGCAGGCTGGGGCCGTGGGCTCCTACAGCCTAGCACCTGGGTGAGGAGGGAGGCAACGGCAAAGCAGAAGGCAGTACTCACTTGCACTCAGCCTCTGCATCGGCTTTGGCAGTGGTATAGAGGCCACGCAGCTTTGTCCGGTAATAGGGAGAGACTGCAGAGTAAACACAGGGGGACAGATGCCTGGGAGTCGTCATCTGTCTCCTGGGTCATCTTGGGTCACCCGGCCCGAGTGAAAACTGTCCTTCAGGCCTAGGCAGCAGTTCATTTTGGATCAGGCAGACACATGCAAAAGTCGCTTTTGAAAATGAGGACAGCCAGTCTTAACTCACACCCACCCCGCTCCTCGCCTTTCTCTCCAGAGCCCAGCTACTCACTCTTGTTCTCGGTCTGCATCCGCTCGTGGGTCTTCTGGATGTTCACTAAGTTGTGTTCACTCCTCGAACGCTCTTCCTACAAGGACAAGGTGGACAGGACATGAGGGGGCGGTTCATGCTGCTGTGATAACTACCCGACCGCCCTGGCCAGAGGCCCCATAAACAGGGCCCTTGTTTTGTAAATCCAACTTCCAAATCCCTACGTTCAAAAGGTTTTTTCCCCCGCCTAATGCAAAAGCAGTACAAAGGGCATTCAAGTTCAATCACAAGTTATACATTTAATGATGCTCCTTTATCAAAAAAGACAAAGTGATCCACAGATTCAATGCAACCCCCATCGAAATTCCAGCTGACTTCTCTGCAGAAACTGACAAGCTCATCCTCAAATTCATATGGAAATTCAACTGACCCAGAACAGCTAAAACAATCTTGAAAGAGAACTCACATTCCCCAACTTCAGAACTTTCTACAAAGCTGCAGTAGTCGAATGGTGTGACACTGCCATATAAATCAATGGAACAGTATTGAGAGTCTAGAAATTTACACATGTATCTATGATCAATTCATCTGTAGAAGCGGGGGTAGGGAAGGAAGCTGGTACAATTCTTCCCTACATCAGCGATCCTAGGACCAAGGCTGCAAGTGAAGATGCTGGGAGCTAGGGTGATTCCTAAGAAGGAAATTGTAACTTTACTTTTTAACCTTCATGTCAGAATTTCTAAAAACCTGAGCGGGTAGCCATTTGGCAAAATGGAGTTAAGAGTGAATGCAGTTATACCACATAGTTGAAACAGCCCACTAATTCAAAAATAACTGAATCATGAACAAACTGTACTAAAACCTGTTCATAAATCTGGTAAATGGGCAGAGCCAATTATGTTGCAAAGGCATAAGAAACTGCTCTGTAATTCTTACTGATCTGTTCTATAATGAAACCAACTTTACCATGATCACACTTCAGTATGTTATAACACACTAGTACTATCAGTAAGATTTAACTATGTTTTGTTAAGTAAATCATAGGCTAATACTGATATTGATGACCAAATGTATTAGGAGACTGAGTCAAAGTCTTCTGAGAATGAAATGCTGATAAAAGATGACTGGCCTGAGGAGGAACTGGATTTGATTCATCAGCTACTTTTGATGCTAAACGGTTTCACATTAATCTATCATATGGTACAGACAGTGGAAGATGAAGGAGGAAATTGGGTAATCAAATTAGGACAAAAATATGAAAGTGCATGTAATGGTTCCATAGAACAGATTTAGTTGTTTCTTTAAGTCTATCTCAACCCTACAAGGATTCCTGCAAAGGTCAGGTGTATTCATCCTGATACTATTATATCAGGTACACCTATATCTGCTATATAAATGCCATGCATGCATGCAAAGTCGCTTCAGTTGTGTCCGACTCTGTGCGACCCTATGGACTGTAGCCTGCCAGGCTCCTCTGTCCATAGGGATTCTCCAGGCAAGAATACTGGAGTGGGTTGCATGCCCTTGTCTATAAATGCTATACTAAATGTAAATGTTCAAATGATTATTTTGCTGTAACAGAGCCTAGGCCAAGGGCTAGGGAGGTGGGTGTGCAGTTAAGATTTAATTAAGCAGGCTAGGGTTTTCAAACGCTGGGCATTTCAAAACAGGGTTGGCCCTTGACCAGCTCTTGGGAAATAACCTCTAAACACACCTGAAATATTTTGCTTGGTAAGAGTGTCTATGTTTACCTGGAACAAGGAGGTGGAGGCATACGGAAAGTGACTGCTATTGAGTACAGGGCTTTTTTGAAAATGTTCTGAAATTGATGACGGTGATGGTTGCACAACACTTTGAATATTGGATTCAAATTGGACTGTACACCTTAAATAGGTGAACTGAATGTGAATATAGCTCAGTATTGCAAAATTGCTGCTACTAACCAAAAAGAACCATGAAATCCTGCACGTGACAGAAAATCCAGTAGGCACGGCAGTCATAGCCCACATGCTCCTCCTCACCTTCATGACATCATCGTGGTTCCGGCACGACCAATCTCTTTGAACACAACCATCCCCGCCCCCTCCACAGTTCAGTATCACAGCCCACGACCCCCTCTAGGAGTGGAGGGCTGTGGCTTTTCACCTGGGTTTGCTTGATGAGCTGATGGAGCTCTGTGAGCAGTTCTGCAATTCGGGAATCAGCAGACACAAGGGCCATGGTATAGAGGGGCGCCTGCGGGGAGGGGAGGAAAAGAGAACTTATCAGTGGCTATTGTGGGTTTAACCATTCTTCTGGCTAGGACGCTGCAGTCCTAACCTCTGGTACATGAGTGTGACCTTATGTGCATGTTAAGATGAGATCATACTGGAACAGGGCAGGCCTTAACCCAACACGGAGGCTTCCCTGGTGCCTTATGCAGCTTCCCCCACAACACAGTGGTAAAGAATCTGCCTGCCCAGGCAGGAGACATAGAGATGTGGGTTCAATCCCCGTGTCGGGAAGATCCCCTGGAGTAGGAAATGGCAATGTGCTCCAATTTCCTTGCCTGGAAAATTCCATGGACAGAGAAGCCTGGTGGGCTACAGTCTATGGGGCCACAAAGAGTCAGACATGACTGTGTACACACATATACACATATAATCCAATATGTCTTGTGTTTGTGTAAGAGAAGAAACAGACACACACACAGAGAATGCCAGGTGGAGAGACAGACATATACAGGGGGAAGACAGCCATCTGACAGAGGCAGAGACTGGAGTCAGGCAGCTGCAAGCTAAGGAGTGCCAAGGATTGCTGGCAACCACTAGAAACTTGGAGAGAGATATGGAACATATTCTCCTTCTGAGCCCCTAAGAAGGACCCTACCCTTGATTCTGCGACTAACAGAACTGCTTGAGTCTGGAATTCTAGCCTTCAGATCTGTGAAAGAATACATTCCTTTTGTTTGTAGTCACCCAGTTTATGGTCATTTGTTTACAGGAGCCCTAGGAAATACAGTGGCAAGTGGTCCTGGAATTCTTCCCCAGTCCAGTGATGCTTGGATTCAGTATGTGCAAACAAGTCAGGAGTACTTAGTAAGTACCTTCCAAAAGCAGCACGCCATAGCCCCAGCTCTTGGATTCAAGTATTCTGGTTTATCCTCCTCCCGCCTTTTTTTTTTTTTTTTTTTAATTTTGCTCCCTTGATAGCTCAGTTGGTAAAGAATCCACTTGCAATACAGGGGACCCTGGTTCAATTCCTGGGTCGGGAAGATCCGTTGGAGAAGGGATAGGCTACCCACTCCAGTATTCTTGGGCTTCCCTTGTGGCTTAACTGGTAAAGAATCCACCTGCAATGTGGGAGACCTGGGTTTGATTCCTGGATTGGGAAGATCCCCTAGAGAAGAGAAAGGCTACCCATTCCAGTATTCTGACGTGGAGAATTCCATGGACTGTATGGTGCATGGGGTCACAAAGAGTCAGATACAACTGAGCGACTGTCACTTTGCCCTTTTTTTAAATCTGTAAAATAAAGACTCAAATAAGACCTTATATGAAGACACTTTCCAAATCATAAAGCACTGTTACTTTTTTTTTTTACTGTAGAAGGAAGAGAAATTAACTACTAAAAGTATCTGACTTAAGGTAAGATAAATGTATTCTGATGAAAATGCAACAGTAGATAATCAGGATAAAAGACAATAATAGGCTATTTTAAAAGTAAGCTACTGTTTTGCCAAGATACAACCTAAATGTCCATCAACAGATGAATGGATAAAGAAGATGTGGTGCATATATACAATGGAATACTACTCAGCTACAAAAAAGAATGAAATAATACCATTTGCAGCAACATAGTATAGTACAGTATGATACAGACTATCATACTAAGTGAAATCAGTCAGAAAGAGAAAGACAAATACCATATGATATCATTTATATGTGGAATTTAAAATATGATTCAAATGAATGTATCTATGAAACAGGAACAGAATCACGGACACAAAGAACAGACTGGCAGTTGCCAAGGGGAAGAGGACTGGAGAAGAGATGGAGTGGGCAGTCGAGGTTAGCGGATATAAGTTTTTATACATAGAATGGATGAGTAACAAGGTCATACTGTATAGCCCAGAGAGCTATATTTAATATCCTATGATTACACCATAATGGAAAAGAATATTTTAAAACAGAATTTCAGGAATTCCCTAGTAGTCCAGTGGTTGGGACTCTGCACTCTCACTGCTGACAGCTCTTAATTCAATCTCTGGTCAGGGGAACTATAAAATCCCACAAGTTGTATGGCACAGCCAGAAAGTAAAAACAAATTAAAAAATGATTTTAAAAATTAAGGAAAAAAAATTAAGGAAAAAAGAATGTGTGTGTGTGTGTGTGTATATATATATATATTAAAAAAACACTGAATCACTCTGTTGTACAGCAGTAATCAACACAACGTTGTAAATCAACTATACTTGAATAAAAAAATTTTTTTTAAGGAAGCTTTTGTAACTAGGTAAAAATGGACACATGCCTAAAGAGAAAAGGAGATGGGAAGAAAAAAGGAAAATTTTTTAGGATGTTGAATTTTACATGATCCCCCTACCTTCTGGGAAAGGTGGTTCAATTAATACATCTCCATATCCACAAAGGTCAGCTTCACACTGAATCTCCCCCACCCCTCCTAGTAGTAAACTGAATTCCTTGTCTGTAAATATTCATATATTCTTAAAATATCTGCTTTTGTTTATTTAAAAAGTAATATAAAAACCAGGAATACAGGAGAACTGCCTCAACTTGATCAAGGGCATCTATGAAAACCCATAGATAACATCATACTTACTGTTGAAAGACTTAAAACTTAACCGGCTAAGATCAGCAACAAGTCAACACTGTTCTGGAGGTTCTTGCTGGGGCAATAAAATGAAATAAAAGAACCAAGATTGGAAAGAAAAAAGTAAAACTATCTCCATCTGCAGATGACATGGCCTTGTACACAGAAAACCCTGGATACACGTTTATGTATGGCTGAGTCCCTTTGCTGTTCACTTGAAACTATTACAACGTTGTTAATTAGCTATTAACAATACAATACAATACAATACTGTATTGTACAGTACAATACAATACTCCAATACAAAATAAAAAGTTAAAGAAAACCCTGAGAAACTCACTAAACAACTATAAGAACTAATAAGGGTTAGAGGAGAGAAGATTGCTAAGACAAAAATCAACTGCATTTCTATACAGTGGCAATGAACAATCCAAAAATGAAATTAAGAAAAAACTCCATTTACAACAGCATCAAAAAGAATAAGATACTTAGGAATAAATTTAATAAGAAAAGTATAGAATTTTTACTCTGAAAACTAGAAAACACTGTTTAAAAAAATTAAGATGATCTACATAAACAGACACCCATATTCATGGATCAGAAGACTTAATATTATTAAAATAGCATTACTCCCCAAATTGATTTATAGTTTCAACAAAGGCCCTATCAAAATCCTAGCTGGCTTCTTTGTAGAAATTAACAAGCTCATCTGAAAATTTACATGAAAATCCAAGGGATCCAAAATAACCAAAAAAATCTTGAATTACAAAACATACTACAAAGTTATAGTAATCAAGATGGTATGGTACTGGCATAAAGGCAGACATAAGATCAATGGGACAAAATCAAGAAACCACCAATAAACCTATATCCATGGTCAACTGATTTTCCACAAAGTTGCCAAGACAATTTAATGGGGAAACAATAGTCTTTTTTGATAAATGGTTTAAGGACAACTGGATGTCCACTGGTAAGAGAGTGAATGTGGGGTCCTTACCTCAGACCATATACAAAAATGATCTGCTTAGACAATTCTCCTAAGATATACAAATGGCCAACAAGCACCTGAAAAAACGCTCAGTATCATTAGCCATCAAGAAATAAAAATCAAAACCACAGGAAAAACTAGTTCACACTCACTAGGATGGCTATAATAAAAATGAGACATAATAACAAGCACTGCTGAGGATGTGGAGAAACTGTATGAATGGGTTCGGTACAACAGACTATATTACTACAATAATAAGGGAAGTAGTAGTGATACATGCGACAACATGGACGAACCTTGAAAACAGTAAGTGAAAAAAGCCAGACACAACAAACTTCATAGTATATGATTCCCTTTATAAGAAATAGCCAGAATAGGCAAGTTCACAGAAAGTTGGCTGGGGTGGGGGGTGGGGAGGTGGGCGGAGATAGTTGAAAAAAGAAGGGGAGTGACTGTTAATGGGTATAAGGTTTTTTGGCCAGGTGATCAAAATGTTATAAAATTGATTGTGGTGATGACCACACACCTTTGAATATACTAAAAACCACTGAATTGTATTTTCTTGGGCTACAAAATCACTGCGGATAATGACTACAGCCATGAAATTAAAAGATGCTTGCTCCTTGGAAGAAAAGCTATGACAAACCTAGATGGCATATTAAAAAGCAAAGACATTACATTACCGGCAAAGATCTGTCTAGTCAAAGCTATGGTTTTTCCAGTAGCCATATATGGATGTGAGAGTTGGACCATAAAGAAAGCTGAGTGCCGAAGAATTGAAACTTTTGAACTGCGGTGTTGAAGAAAACTCTTGAGAGTCCCTCGGACTATATGGAGATCCAACTAGTCCATCCTAAAGGAAATCAGTCCTGAATATTCACTGGAAGGACTGAAGCTGAAGCTGAAATTCCAATACTTCGGCCACCTGATGTGAAGAACTGACTCATCTGAAATGACCCTGATGCTTGGAAAGACTGAAGGCAGGAGAAGAGGAAGACAGAGGATGAGAGGTTGGATGGCATCACCGACTCAATGGACATGACTTTGAGCAAGCTCCAAGAGTTGGTGATAGACAGGGAAGCCGGGCGTGCTGCAGTCCATGGGGTCGCCAAGACCAAGAGTTGGACATGACTGAGCGACTGAACTGACTGAATTATACATTTTAAATACATGCCCATCTCCATCTCTGCCAGCCCTCAGCAAACACTAATTTACCTTCTGTCTCCAGATATTTACCTATTCTGCACTTCATTTTTTTTCCTGTTCAATAATATTCCATGTTTGCATATACCACATTTTGTATACCAGCTCACCAACTGATGGACGTTTGGGTTGTGTTCACTTTTTGGCCATTATGAACAATGCCACTATAAATACTTGCAGACATGTTTTCATTTTCTGGGCATGTACCAAGGAGTGCAACTGCTGGGTCATATGGTAACTCTATGTTTAAGCTTGTGAGAACTGCTGGACTGTTTCCAATGTGGATGTGCCATCTATATCTCCATCAGCAACATAGGAGGGTTCTGCTATCTCTATCAACATGTGATATCATCTTCTTTTTGATTATAGCCATCTGAGTGGGTATGAAATGCTAACCAGTGGTTTTGCTTTGCATTTCCTTGATGGCTACTGATGTTGAACATCTTTTCATGTGTTTAAATGCCATTTCTGTATCTTCTTGAGAGAACTACCCTTTGCCCATTTTTATTGGTTTTATAAAAGTGATTGCTGAATTCTGTCCTTTAAAGCACATGTTCTCAATTTTTATGAAGTCCAACTTAGCTGTGACACATCTTTTTTTCCTCACATGTGCAGTGATATTTGTACCACTGCAGGCCTTATATAATGCATTTTAATACAAAGAATAACATGTCCCTTAAGAAAAAAAAAGTCTAGTTGCACTAATTAGAACCACATGAAATCAGGGATCTAGAGTTCAAGAGATTCAAAGTGGATAAATTTGACGATGAATAGCATAAAGGTCATTGATGAGGCTACAGATGACCTGCTGAGTGAGCAAAAAGGAAGGGGGAAAGAGCCCCCCTTGAACCACAACCAAGGTGAGGGTGTTGACCAAGGATGAGTCCCGTGGGAAGATTCTGGGAAAGACCAGATCAGCATGGAAAAGGGTTACTCTCTCCTGCCACATAAAGCAGAATCCTGGTCAGAACCACCTCTACATGCCTACCCTGTGCATATTAAAACAGGGGGAAGCCCCCCACTGGACAGGTGGGCTTTACTTTATACAAACATTGACAGCAAGCACTCCCATTCTGCTACCAGAAAAATCAGTTACCTTCTCTGATAATGTGGACGCTTCAAACCTCTTCTCTCCTCAGTATCTTTGCTCCTACCCTCATACCTGACTTTGAGTCCCCTTTACTGATGTCCAAGGTTCCTACTTCGCTCAGATAACAAGCCAGAGATCACGAGGTCTCTGGAAACGATCCCACCATCAAAACCATGACCTCGTGCAGCAGAGCTCCATTCCGCCTTCCCCTCAAGACAGAAGACTGTCCTTTCACTTACTGAAGACCAAACCCTCCCTCATCTGTGCTCTGAACTCCATCTCCTCTTGCACCACTTGACATGTTTTTCCTATGCTTTACGAGCAAACGAGCACACTCTGGGGCAGGGACCCATCTTAAAAATAAATGAGAGCTTCTGAGCCGCATGCTCACCTCATGGACCCACCCATTCCTGGTTCCACTTCAAAATTAAGGTTGTCCAAGCACATGCCTCTCTACTTCTTCACCTCCATTTCACTTTTCAACCCACTTTCAGCTAGCTTCATCCTCACCAGTCCAGCGAAAATGTTCTTGAGAAAAATGAATCACTTCCTACAGGTCAAAGCATTGGATCCTTTCCTGCTTTATCCGACAAGATGTGTCAGCACGTGGGCACAGGTGTCCCTTCCCTCCTCCGCCTCTGGCTTCAGGGCCTCCCTGCTGTGCGGGTTGCCTATACCTCACCCCGGCTCCTCCTTAGTCTCCTGGGCTGATCTCCCTTCTGAACATTCTCTAAATGCCGGAGCTGGGCTTCCCTGGTGGCTCAGGGATAAAGAATCTGCCTGCCAACGCAGGAGACACGGGTTTGATCCCTGATCCGGGAAGGTTCCACAAGCCATGGAGCCACAACTAAGGAACTAAGGCTGTGAGCCACAACTGCTGAGCTCACGTGCTGCAACAACTGAAGCCCGCGTGTCCTAGAGCCTGTGCTCCGCAAAGAGAGCAGCCCCCGCTCATTGCAACGAGAGAAGTCCGCACAGCAACAAAGACTCAGCACAGCCGAACACACAAATAAATAGAATCACAAATGCTGGCGCTCCTCAGGGCTCAAGCCGGGCTGCTGTCCCCTCTCACTCCTAGGTAACCTCCTCCCCAGGCCCTGTCTGTGCAATGACATCTCCAAATCTTAATCTCCCTCAAAGCTGGAAAGTTTATGTGAGAGGGTGACCGATAAAACCACATGCCACAGAAAAGGACTGTCTCCAGAATCAAATAGGGTGTTACTGATGACCTGGGGGGGGGGGGGGTGGGGGGACACTGTCAACGGGAGGGACCATACAGGAGGGGTGTGGTAGCAATGAAGACAGCAATTCCCTGCTAGCAGGGCTGTGACCCAGAGACAGGGGTGGAGGCTTGAGGAGAGGCAAGCAGACAGACGGATTACAGGTGGAGGAAATGGAAGCAGGTTGGCTGAGGGGCAGGAGAGAACAGGGTTGCATGTGAAGGGACAGGAGGGTGAAGGATGGGATCCAGTCCTGAGGCCTACCTAGTGTCATCATCCGCTGACAGTCCTTCCAGTGCGTCTTATCTACAGGCTCTCAAACACAGATGTTCTGTCCCATCCCACTCTACCCTCCCAAGAGCCCGAGAGGCAGCTTCTTTCCCTCTTTTTCATTTTACTTATTTGTTTTTGACCGTGCTGGGTCTTCCCGCTGTGTGGCCTTTTCTCCACTTGTGGCGAGCAGGGGCTACTCTCTCGTGCAGGACAGGATCAGGGTCATGGGCTTCAGTAACTGCAGTCCTGGGGTCTAGAGCACAGGCTCAGTAGTGCTGGCACATGGGCTCAGTCGCTCTGCAGCATGTGGGATCTTCCTGGATCAGAGATCGAGCCCATGTTTCCTGTGTCTCCTGTATTGGCAGGCGGATTCTTTACCACTGAACCACCAGGGAAGACCTACCCTTTCCCTCTTTGTCAGGGTACATTTTCCTCAACAACCAGCTAAAGACTGGTCTTGTCTGACTAACCCTAAAGAAGCCTAACTTAACTCTTATTTGACTTTTCCTGGAACCTATCTAAACCTATGGGCTTCTCTAGTGGCTCAGAAGATAAAGAATCTGCCTGCAATGCAGGAGACCTGGGTTCAGTCCCTGGGTTGAGAAGATCCCCGGGAGGAGAGTATGGCAACCCACTCCAGTATCCTTGCCTGGAGAATTTCAGGGACAGAGGAGCCTGGAGGGCTACATTCCACGGGGTTGCAAAGAGCTGGGCACGACTGAGTGACTAACACTTTGACCTAGATCTATAAACCAGCTTTTCCAACCAGTAGATGTAGGTAGATCTTTTCTTCTCCAAACAACCTAGAAAGCTCCACAGGCAGAATAGTCATCTCTGCTGTCATCAACAAGACCCTTTCATCAATAATCCCACTGATGAGTAGTGTCAGGAAATCGCCCACTCCTTGAAGCAAACACTGTTGTTTCTTGGGTAGCTTTCCAGAAAGATCCCACGTATATTTCAGAAAAAAAAAAGTGCTGTCTCATAAAACCTTTTGCAATCAGTAGATGCAGAAACAGACACACGAAACTGTGGTTGAAACTGTCAGCAAACTTAAGTGAAAAAATTGACTCACGTGGTCTGGAGGAGGAGTAGGTCAAATACCAAGCCAGGGAGGGCCTCATCCTGCAACCAGAAGGCAGCGGTGGGAAAGGAGGGCCCCAAATTTGACAAGAGGCCCGTTTTAAGGCAGAGGAAGCCCCTACACCAACTGTTAGGACGCACTCATACTCAAAAAAACGCTGACTTGTGACTTTTTAAATGCTCTCGTCTCACCTCATTTCTATTTGATGTGAAGTAATTCTGAAGTGTAAATAAGGCAGTGCCAGGAAAAGACAGGGGACTGTATTATTAAGTTGAGCAAAGCAGTCAAAGGCACAAGCAACAGAAAACGCTGACACATCCGAAGCACGGGGGAGTGATCACGGCCGCCACCGTGTAAGGGGCCGCCCCTGCTCGGGCTCTGCCCAAGAGGGAGCACCCTGCCTGGGAGAAGCACCTCATTTTATGATTTTACAATAAACTACCGCTATCTCTGGGCTTCCCAGGTGGCTCAGTGCTAAAGAATCTGCCTGCCAATGCAGGAGACGCACAAGAGATGTGGTTTGATCCCTGGGTCAGGAAGATCCCCTGGAGGAAGAAATGGCAACCCGCTCCAGGCAAATGCCTGGAGAATGCCATGGCCAGAGGAGCCTGGTGGGCAATAGTCCATAGGGTCACAAAGAGTCAGACACAACTCTGTGCCTGAGCGTGCACACACTGCTATCTCCAGATGCAGTCAGCTGTGAACTTGAATTTCCCCAGAAAATACACTCTCAGTAAAGGTTCCTGTAGCTCTCCACTCTGAGAACACTAAGCCTGCTGGTGCAAAACAAGTGGGAACACAGACTTGGAACCACAGCTCACCAGGGAGCTCCCAGCTGGGAGGAAACGGAATGTTCAGCCCAAACTGCCTGTTATCCAAGCTCAAGGGTCCCAGTTCATCTCAGCATTAGTCTCAAACCAAGGAGCGGTTATGTAATCCCCATATGGTTTCAGAATTCTTATGAATTTTGAGGTAAGGCCCAGTAACCCTAAACCTTCTGGGTCCTAGAACCCTCTTCTTTCCAGACTTTCTACTTCTACCCACAAGGGGAACCACTTTTCTGCTATGTTCTACTAGAGACTAGTAATGCCTTTTCCAGAACTTCACACAAATATAATCATGCCATCCATATACTTCAGTGTCTGGTTTCTTTTACTTAATGTGTTTTGAGATTCATCTGTGTTGCTGTGTGTATTAGGAGTTTGTTGCTTTCTATCGCTGAGTTGCATCAATTGTATGAACAAACCAGTTTATTTAACCTTTATTCTCTGAATAGCGTCTATGTCCATTTTTGGCAATTATGAATAAAACTGCTAAGAGCAATCATATGTGACTCTTTTTAAAGACACCTGTTCCTTTTTCTTAAGTAAACATTTAGGTCTTGTAATAGTACTCTAATTTCCCTTTGGGAAACCATCCCTCATCTTGGCTCCAAGGCTGAGTATACCACCTGGGTCCACAGAAGTATTACAGTCTTCCTGCCCAGCACAACTGGTTCTGAAAGAGATATGTGACCCAAATCTGGCCAACATCAATTTCAAATCTCTTGTTGAAGCAAAAAAAAAAAAAAAAAAACCTCCATCTATTCTTNTCACTTAACTTTAAAAAAAAAAAAAAAAAAAAAAAACCTCTTTCTGTTGACTAAGAGAGTAGCATAGAAGCCTGGAACTGATGGAGATTTTTGCCTGCCTGAGGGAGAAATCAACATGGAGGAAAGCAGAGCTGAAAAGACACAGAAAATACTGGTGACATAACCAAGGCTTCTGGATACAGCCATACCTGAAGCTGGTCCACCTGGGACTCTTTAGTTAGAGTCAACAGATAGTCCTTTTCTGCTTAGAAGAGTTTGGGCTACCTTTTTGTTACCTGCAACTGAGAAGTGTGACTAAAAAGAGGTAATTCATAGGGACCAAGGCTACGAGGAAAAGCACACAGTAACTGCTAAACACCCAGTCTAAAACTGCTGTCTGACCCTCTCATACAAACAAATGAGAACAGTCTATACTTAAACCACTCTAAAAATAATCCCACAGGACAGAGGACAATAAAAGCTTTGTCATGAGCCACAGGAAAGCAAGGCATCCAAGACTACATTCAGATCCCATACCCTCAATTTAGCCACCATCAGTAAGAATCTACATTAGTTTGTTTTGTTAGAAAATATTTATTCATTTATTCATTTAGCTGCAGTGCACAGGATCTTCGTTGCATCATGTGGGACCCATGGACTCTCTGGATGTGGCTGTGGGCTCAATAGTTGTGGTGCTTGGGCCTAATTGCCCCACACCAGGTGGGATCACAGTTCCCTGACCAGGTATCAAACACTAAGTCCCCTGCATTGCAAGGCAGATTCTTAACCACTGGACCACCAGTAAGTCCCTCAATTAGCTTCCTTTTTTAAATTAAGAAGACCTGATGATTTCCACCTATCCCACCCTGCACCCATACCCAGTACCTACCAGACTTTGGTACTGAAGCTTACACAGGTGACTCTCATTTAAGTCTACATCACTGCTACAAGCCCATCTTCTTCACAGCTGGGGAAGGTGCAGTTCAGTTGGGTGAAGTTATGCTAGGTAACTCAGGGAATACAAGTAGTCAAGCTGCCACTGCAAGCTTGCAAACTATAAAATCTATACTCTTCCAAGTTTTGTCACACTTCGGCATATTCCATAGCAAAAAGAGATCAACTACATCAAATACTGCTACAGGTCTGAGAACTAAACACTGAATTTGGCGACCTAGAGATGACTGGTGGCTTTGACAAGGCGCTATTTCAGTGGAAGAGTGGGGTCCAGGCCCGACTGGAGTGGGTTAAGAGGAGAAAAACTGCTAGTGAATACAGACCGAAATTTGGGCTGCAAACAAGGGCAGAGAAACGAGGCGCCAGGAGAAACATGAATGAAGAATGAGGTGGTTTGGTTAAGATGGGCACATCATGAGCAAATAACAAATGCTACCAAGGTTCGGGGCCCATCCTCTGCCCTCATCTTCTCGCATCTGGCCTGGGTACCCCACCTCCCTGGGCCACCCCGCAAGCTCCACGTGCGGCGACGTTCCAGCCGTGCAGGGCTGCCCGGCGCACGCACGCGCAGACGGTACAGACGGTCGACACCAGCCCTCCTTCCCGGGGCCCCGCCTTTCTCCGCCAAGGCGCGTGCGCACCGCCCCTCAGGAGCCGTCTCAGCGAGGCCGGAGCATAAGGACCACCGGCCCTCCGCTCCCGCCATCCCCCGGACGGGGGTGTGCGGCGGTAGGGGGGTGTCGCAGACCGCGACCCATACCTACCTACAGAGCCACGGGTGGAACAAGCACGTCGCGCTGGAAACTGCGACGGCGGGAGCAAGCGCGCGGTCCTTCGAATGCTCTTCAGAGTCTACAGATGACAACGCCCTTTACGTTCGAAGATTCGCGGCAGGACGAGACCCACACAGCCCTTTTCCCTTTTATGAGCTTAGTCGCAGCGCGGAGGACCACTTTACGCATGCGCCGTCATCCTTTGTGACGTGCCGCGCTACCCTTTGGGAAATGTAGTTTTCACTTTGACACACTGCTCCCGGCTTTTCGGCCGAACCTTATTTTACCAAACCAGGGTCTTTGTGTGTTTTCTATATCCTCTCCCATTCCCCAAAGCCTCTATCAATCAATAATACTTTTATTTTTTTAAGCGAGAAGATTGTTGATTGAAGGGAGAGCAGTTGGCGTATGAGAATTCTTTGGACTTTCTGCCTCAATTTTTCTGGAACCGAAAACTCCTAGAAAAATAGTTTATTTTTTAATTTTAAAAAGTAAATAGAAGCAAGCATGCCTGTAGACCCAGAAATCATGCTTTTAGGGGATCTTTCCAGGAATGTACTACAGTTCTGGGAGCAAGTATTTAACTATGATGGTTTACATCCTAGTATCTTTTAATTTCTTACATGTACGTGCGTGCTAAGTCGCTTCATTAGTGTCCGACTCTGCGACCCTATGGACTGTAGCCTGCCAAGCTTCCCTGTCCATGGGATACTCCAGGCAAGAATACTGGAGTAGGTTGCCCTTCCCTTCTCCAGGGGATCTTCCCCACCCAGGGATTGAACCCGTGGGCACTTGCATTGGCAGGCAGATTGTTTCCCACTGAAGTACCTGGGAAGCCCTTCTGAGAAAGCTACAGTGTGGCAAAGAAATCTGGGGCTTCCTTGTCTATCCTTCTTCATCTAACATCTGAAATGCTTTCCCAAAGAGCCTTGAAAAGCCACAGCAGTCTTCACTGAAGGTCCCCCTTAAGGACACATGGAGAGAGTTACACAGAGTACTTTCCTTTTACTAATCCTTTTACTAATTCCTCCTCTGACAGAGTTACACTGCTGAAGGCCATGCTCTGATCTGTCTCTCCTTTGCTTTCTCTTGCTTGAGGACTGGCTTTTTGCATGAGGGCTTCAGGTGCTTTCTATATAAAAAAACCTACAGTCACTCAGCTTGACCCTGTTCACACCCACTCCTCACCCATTTGAGCAAAACAAAGTTTTCTCTTCACCTTGACCTGCAGGTGGGAGATACTGTAACCATTGTACTCACTTTTAACAATGATTTTCCTTGACACAGACAAAAAGCCATTTCTTGACCAGAAGGTGGCATAGTATGCATGGAATTGAATAAAGGAAAGGGATGAAATAAACTGACCCTTAAAATTTTCCTTTTCTCCCCTCCTTCTAAAACAAGTAACTTTGCAACCCTACGGACTGTGGACCACCAGGCTCCTTATACACTGTGAAAAAGTCAAATGTTGATGAGATCTAGCGTCTGTAATGGAGGAAGTTAAAGGTATCCAGAATCCCAGTTGAGGATATAACCTCTAAGGAGAGTTTGGTACACAACCCCATTGCTCACTCCCCTTTTTTTCAATAATTGAAATGATTTTTATTATAGAAATAGGATTATAGACGTGCTTGGGCAGCAATCCCTTGGACCCAGGCTTGCCCTGGGGTAAGGGAGTGGGAGGTAGGGAGGGGAGGGTCTCCCTCAGGTATCTAGCCCTGGGCTGCCACCCAGTGGCGGGAGGGGCAGTTCAGCTCAGTTGCTTAGTTGTGTCCAACTCTTTGCGACCTCATGGATTGCAGCACGCCAGGCCTCCCTGTCCTTCACCAACTCCCAGAGCTTGCTCAAACTCATGTCCATGGAGTTAGTGATGCCATTCAACCAATTTATCCTCTGCCATCCCCTTCTCCTCCTGCCCTCAATCTTTCCCAGCATCAGGGTCTTTTCCAGTGAGTCAGTGCTTCTCATCAGGTGGCCAAAGTATTGGAGTTTCAGATTCAGCATCAGTCTTTCCAGTGAATATTCAGTACTGATTTCCTTTAGGATGGACTGGTTGGATCTCCTTGCAGTCCAAGAGACTCTGAGGAGTCTTCTCTTGTCAGAGGGGCATTAGGTTACAAATATTTTCTCCCATTCTGAGGGTTGTCTTTACATTTTGTTTATGGTTTTCTTTGCTGTGCCTAAGCTTTTAAGTTTAATTAGGTCCCATTTGTTTTTATTTTCATTACTCTAGGAGGGGGATTTAAAAAGATCTCACTGCCATTTATATCATAGAGTGTCCTATCTTTTCCTCTAAGAGTTTTGTGATATCCTATCTTCCACTTTGCTCTTTAATCTATTTTGAATTTATTATTATGTATGGTATTAGGGAGTGTTCTGATTTCATGAGTTTACATGTAGCCTAGGGCTTCCCTGGTGGCTCAGAGGTTAAAGCCTCTGCCTGCAATGTGGGAGACCCAGGTTTGATCCCTGGTTCGGGAAGATCCCCTGGAGAAGGAAATGGCAATCCACTCCAATATTCTCGCCTGGAGAACCCATGGACGGAGAAACCTGGTAGGCTACAGTCCACAGGGTCGCAGAGTTGGACATGACTGAGCAACTTCACTTTCACTACCCAGTTTAAAAAGACACTTTAAGCAACAGGGTTTGGAAAATCTTTTTTTTTTAATTATTTATTTATTTATTTTGGCTGCACAGAGTCTTCCTTGCTGCGTGTGGCCTTTCTTTAGCTGTGGTGCACAGGCTTCACACAGGCTTAGCTGTGCCCCTTAGCATGTGGGATCTTCCCGAACCAGGCATTGAATCCATGTCCCATGCATTATCAGGCAGATTCTTAACAACTGGACCACCAGGGAAGTTCCTAGAAAATCTTCATGTGTACACCTGGGTAAGCATGAGTCATGTATGTTTTCTTTTCTTTAAGTCAGAAATTTGTAGACATGCTGAATCATCTTGTACTTGTCAATAGTCTTAGAGAGCCAGGCAGTGTTAAAAAAACTATCCCTGAACTGGAAGACAGGAGACTATTGTTTCCTAAATCCAGGAGTAGAATTCCCTTGTACTCCAACTCCTTTGGTTAACTAAATGCACTACACTTCTCCCCTTTCACCTTCCTGGGGCCCTGTTTCACAGCCTCCTGGTCTGACTTCTGCTTATCCTTTCCAGGTCAGCTAACACATGACCTTCTCTGGGAATTACCAGTCTGAATGAGGTCCACCTTGCAGTTTGAATTTGTTTTTCTCACATTACTTATCACACTGGTAACAGTAGCTAGTCTACAAACCCACTGAATGTGGGTATCATGTTCCACTTACTTTTATATCCCAGCACCAAGCAAGTAACTTGCATATAGTTTGTGTTTTTAATATTTATTTATTTGGCTCTGCTGAGTCTTAAATGTGGCACTCAGGATCTTCAATCTTCATTGCCATATCCAAGATCTTTAGTTGCAGCACATGGACTCTTAGTTGCAGCCTGTGGTATCTATATCTAGTTCCCTGACCAGGGATCAAACCCAGGCCCCCTGCACTGGGAGTGTGAAGTCTTAGCCACTAGACCACCAGGGAAGTCCCTGGCATATGGTTAATGCCCTAACGTCTGTAGAGCAGAGACTCTTAGTCACTCTGGTCCATACTTCCTCGTTTGCTAAATGGGGTTGGGTTTGCTGATCTCTAGGGAGACTTCCAGTAATAGAATTTCTTATTCTAGAGTTTTCTACTGTTGTTTTATCTGGTCATGTATCTTCTTTACTTACCAAGAGAAATGTGTCACACCTGTATTATGCTGAAATGAAATACTCGTTATCTATATTATTTAAACAGATATAATGCAAAAACTTGAATTATAGTATACATGATGTTCTGTTAACCTATTGTTTTCATTTAACAATGATTTGTGGACAGCTTTCTCATCAAGGCTATCAGTGTAGCTTATTCTTTTTAATGGTTACAGAATATTTCACAGAAGGATGTTGATCAGTCACCTACTGATGAACACGTAAGTTGTTTCCAGTTTTTCACGACTACAAACAAGGCTGGGGGTATTTCTGTAGGGGATTTCTCAGGGAGTATGTGTATTTAACAGTCTTATCAATACTGCATCCATTGGCACTTCCCTGGCAGTCCAGTGGTTGGGACTCTGCGCTTCCAATGCAGGGGGCTCAGGTTCAAACCCTGATTGGGGAGCTAAGGTCCTGCATGTTCAAAGTCAAAATATATATTTATTGAACACTTACTATGTTCTTTACCTTGGAAGAAAACCTATGGCCACCCTAGACAGCATATTAAAAAGCAGAGACATTACTTTACTGGCAAAGGTCCATCTAGTCAAAGCTATGGTTTTTCCAGTAGTCATGTGTGGATGTGAGAGTTGGACCATAAAGAAAGCTGAGCACTGAAGAATTGATGCTTTTGAATTGCAGTGTTGGAGAAGACTCTTGAGAGTCCCTTGGACTGCAAGGAGATCCAACCAGTCAATCCTGAAGGAAATCAGTCCTGAGTATTCATTGGGAGGACTGATGCTGAAGCTGAAACTCCAATACTTGGCCACCTGATGCGAAGAACTGACTCACTGGAAAAGATCCTGATGCTGGGAAAGATTGAAGGCAGGAGGAGAAGGGGACAACAGAGAATGAGATGGTTGGATGGCATCACTGACTTGATAGACNCTGAGCAAGCTCCGGGAGCTGGTGACGGACTGTGAAGCCTGGTGTGCTGCAGTC